AGGGAATAGGAAAGGGACGGATAGACGAATGAGGGATAGAGGGATAGAGGCAACGAAAACATGTAGGAAAGACAAATGGGAGAGTGAAAACAAGGGGGGAAAAAGGGGGACGAGAGTGTACGTGAGCAAATGGCAATTTAACGGAGACCCAATAGTATTTACGAGGAAGCATTAACAGGAAGGCCCATTTAGTAAAAGCAAGCACCCCTCCTCTTCCCCCCCTTCCCCCTCACCCTCCCCACACCCCCACCTTCCCCACACGCACACTCACTGCCTCACGTCACCATTTTTCATCTCCCGGAGGCTGGAGGGAGGGAAGGGTTCGCGGCCACACAATTTCGCCTTTAATCATTACACGCCAAATCACTCCGCTGGAAGTTAAATTAAAATACTTGTGTTCGTTTGCCTCCGCCTCCCGCTTCTCTGTCTCGTTTCTCTCTTTTCCTTTTCGCTCTTTCTATCCCTCGTTCTCTCTCGTTCTTTCTTCTTCCCTTTTCCTTGTTCCCAGACGCCGGGTCACCGCCATAAATTCAAATAAGTAACGGCACAGACTACGACTGTTCTCTCTCCCCCCCCCTCCTTCCTTCCCCCGCTCTCCCCCCACCCTCCTTTTCTTCACTCCCCTTCCTCTTCCCTTCTCCCTTATTCTCTCTGCGTATTTGGGTTTCTTGCCCATTCCAGGGTGCGTTTCGCGCGAAGAATCGAGCGATATACATTCCACGTCAGAAATGCAAGTCGTTCATATTTTTTCCTCCCACGTCTTTTCTTCCTATTTATCGTCCTCAGTCAGAATCGCCGTGACGGTCTGCCTTTGAGGGAAGACGCGGAAAAATCTCGGGGAGGCGCTTTTTCATCTTGCCTTCGGGTGCCGCTGTCGGGAGCAAAAAAAAAAAAAAAAAAAAAAAAAAAAAAATCCCAGCAGGAGCTCAGGAACCGTGTCGTCTGAAATCCCCCCGCGCACCTGCGAGAACCCTGCAGTCACGCCCAAACGCCCACACGCCCGCACGTCCGCGCTTTGTTGAAAGGGGCGAATCAGAAGGCCGTGGCGATCAAAGGACGATCTTAATCAAATCCGAAAACAATTTCATGGCGCTTCCCACCTCATGGCACTGTCGCAGAGGCGGCGGGATTAAGGTGGCATGAGAAGGCCTATGATGTCGCCGCCACAGTCAGAGAAACCAGTGCCGTCTTCAACACAGCTGGTTATCTACACTGTGTCATATAATACCTTGGAAATATACCCTTGTTTTTTTTTTAACTATTGAACTGGAACTCAGATGTGCATCCTTAAAAATTTGAAAAGGAAGAAAAATGTTTTCTTACCTCTCGCTCTCATGCTAGGAAAAAATGTCTTGTAGCATGATTAAACTGTCAGCATTCTCAAAATACTCTTTCGTTTACTGTCTCATAATCTGAATGTGTTCTGCATTGTGCGATATCAACCATGGTGTTGGTTCACCTTTATATTATGTGATAGTGTAATATTAGATTGTACTCTATTAAATTCATTGTCGTTCCTTTTTTTATAGATATGTAATTATCACATACACGACTTGCAATTAAGAGCAGACACTTTCGTAAAAAAACATTTTTTAATTTACTTCAAAACAGATTATTTCTTTTTTCAGATGTAGAAACTTACGGAAATTGGAGTCCTGTATTTCTGCAATCTCCACGATCGACACTATCATAATTCATCTATTTTTTTCCCTACTTTTCGGTTCTCAAAAAGAATCGCGTTTTTCCCTAACTCTCTTTCATTTCCTTTTCTTTATCTCCCGTGCTCCCTATTTCTATCTGCAGGAGGACACATTTTCTGTCAGGAAGAATTTCCAGTTCCAGGGGGAATCGCCTTCGATATCTCTCTCAACTTTCCTTTATTATCATAGATATTTGTGTTTACTTTAACGTATATCTTGATTTATTTTCCATTGCTCAGACGTCCCGCTGGTGGAGCTGTCTATGGGGCGGGCGCTGGTTCCTCAGGCTATACAAGAAGGGGCTGACGTGTACTTCGAGTGCAGTGTCGTCTCCAACCCCCCGTACCTCCGCGTCGAGTGGTTTCACGATGTAAGTCTACGGTGTTTGCAACCCACATTTCAGTATGAAGGCATGTGTCATTGTTTTATTTTTTTCTTTTACCTGATATAGTACATATTATGATTGTGTCATAGCATAAATTTCCAATGTAATACTATTATATAATGCTATGATCATGCATCAAATTTACCAAAGCTTGTCCAGGCCTGTACAGCTAGCCAGGCTAGTAGATAAAGGACTAAACTAAACTAAACCAAAAGTTATAAAGATTCTGAAGTGATCGTTAATCTGATAGCAAGCAATGAATAGTGATTATGATCTATTCCTTCATCTACAATCTTTATCTTTATTGCTTCGCCTTGGGGTCCTCTAAGAAACCGAGCTCAGTGTTGGAGCATAATGGTTGACGTTAACTGTTTGCATTTTCTTTTGTTCCATCACGTCATCAGTGCAGTTTAAG